TTCATGTGGGCCACGACCAACTTGACTTTTCTCTTGAAGGATATCAATTGTTCTTCGGATTGGGAGAGTTGGAATCCAAGTCGTGTTCCGGTGGTCTTCTGGAAGTAGCGGTGAGAGCATTATGTTCATACAGATCCGTACTTTTTCCGACAACTCCTTCAACTGCCTGCGAAATTCATGTTTCGGCAACGTGGGCACTGTTCACTGGATTGGTCGCCACAGCATCGACGATGTTGTTTCGCATTGAGGTCGGCTCGATGCAAGTGATAGATTGATCAACGATGAAGCGCAGACAATTTAAAACCAAAAATATGTCCATGATGTCTACCATTGTATTCGATTCAAACGGTTCGAACGCATTTTTTGTACAAGTGGACAGTTGTAATTACCGAAGTTGGTGTGAGTCGCAAGGATCGCATCTTTATTGGTTACGGTAACAGGTGGAACATTAAATTCACTAGAGTTATTTTAAGCGATAGTTGCCGAGTTATCATCATCGGATATTTCAATGTCCATTCGTTCATCTACGCGCGAAGATGTGATATTCACCTCTGCTGCCGCTTTTCCTTCCGAAAGAATTTCTTCGCTTTGCAGTTCGACGTTGCTGTTTACAATTATTGTCTTTAGAGAATTATGCATCGATCCCGTATTAATGCTTAATAGTATGTCATTGATCTGCGAATAATATAAACAATTTTCAACCAATTGTTTTCATCGCTCCAACTGGTATGCATAATTAATATTTTATAAATATAGTTGTATGTAAAAAAATGTAAGTTTTTAGTGTGCCTGTGATGTTAAACGGTTGATGCACAACAATTCCTCGGTTCCGACCGCATATGCATGCGAGATTAAGGAAATTGACAGTGTTGGACTTTAACCGTGGTTTTAATTTATTTAAAAAACATACTATGCACGCCATTCCTTCGCGGTATAAATTGGCCACCATGCAATTCCTGATTCCTTTTTTTTCCATCTCGGCTATATACGAGTTATTATATCTGTTGATCAAAGTGGCAGTCCTTAATCAATGCGCCTAGATTTTCTTCTAGTGTTTCGTACAGCTTTTTCAAAAATTCCCCTCTGACCATATCACACAATTCGAAGTCTACAATCTCAGTGTCCATGTCCATTGGAGTGGTCGGCAAGTCAAAGTTCCACACGTTAGTCATCATAATTAATCGATATGCTTCCGTATTATTATTATATAATTATAACGTTAAATTCGTTTGCAATGACGTTTTACGTTTTAAGATTGTATAGAAAAATATTTCACGAGCAAATGTCAAAAACAAATTGTCAACGTTAGCAACTAACAAGTGAAAGATTTATTCCAAATCAACAATTGCATTAGAAGTGTTGAATTATTTTTAACCCATTTAATATTAACAACCAGATTTTTGTTTGTCTGTTTATTTCCATTGTGAATTAAAATATTTTAAAATGTGACTAAACATTTTACTGCTCAATGGTATTTTTCTTAGCTCATAAAAATTAATGACAATCAACTGAATCAATCTTTTAGAGCAGTTAAAATTATGAAAGGGTGATTATGGTAAACAATAAACATAGACATAGCCTAGTTAATTTAAATTGTTATACATTTGAATAGTAAAATTATAACATTGTTATTTTTCATAATTATAATTTTTATTACTATTATTAAGAAATATTAACTTTTGTTTTATTTTAATTTTCTCAGTTAATTAGTAGTTAATTAGTTTGGTTAGGTATTACCTACTTTTTTATTTTAGAAATTAAAGTATAAGTAAGTATTATTAAAATGTAAAAATTAATTAATATTATTAAATATTAATAAAGGAACTCTTTAAATATATCGCAAAAAAAAATCAATATAATAATTATCATATTGAATTTAAAATTTTTAACTAAATGTATTTGGATAATATGTATTTTTAATGCAAAATATTGATATAATTTTTATCAACCATGAGGTTCTGAATATTAGTTGAGTTATTATTATCTTAGTTACAGTAATTAGAGATGTTTGCAATATCAAGTACGTTCGTTTGCGTAATTTTCACCTGTTATTCGGATCATCATTGTTCAACGCTGTAGTCCAATAACCAGGTGTATATATTTAATTAATATAATGATTATTTTATCGAAATTATATTATATTTTATATATAATATAATTTATTATCATTATAATTGATTTCAAAGGTTAAAAGTTAAACTCTTTTGGTACAATTTTTGTTTTCTATTTAAAACGTCGTACATCGTAGACTTGTTAATACATTTCAAACAAACTAGTTTTTCCGTTTAAAACTTCTCGAAACCCACGGTACGCTACCGGAGGGATCCACTGTGTGGTACCTATATGATATTATTCAAATGTAGAAAATATTCAGGTCTCAGTTCGAAACTGTTTGATATACGCTCTTCCCGGATACGGGAGACTTTACTAGGCAGAAGAAAAAGCTGAGAAAAATTGTATCGATTTTGATGTTGGAAAGCATAGAATTGAAAAAAAAAGTTATAGAAAAAAAAAATATTAATATTATGTGTTCGGTAAAAAATGGTAAAATTATTTTTCTATGGGACGTCTGTCTGAACCCTGAATTGTATTTATGTTTTCTGCCATCAGGACAATACAACAAGGCTAGACACGTATGAGCATAAGTTAAATAAAATTCTAATTTTCCAGAAAAAATGCACGAACCATAATATTGATAATTGTTATATGCATCAAAACTCATAGCATCATTTTCGCAACCAACTGGATCATTTTATACCGGTTAATAATGATGTTTGCAGATTGCAGATAACGGTGCGTCGAATTAAGTTTGTCACTTGGACGTTAATGACCCGATGAAGTCGAGGTATGTTTTTTTAATTAATAAAAAAAGATAAGAATAAAAATAAAAACATAAAAACGAATTACACGTATGTCATTGTCCGCTAGCATTAAACTCCAAGGAGTGTTTCGACTATCGAATGATTCGACGAGTCGGTGTTCGTCGCTCCTGTTACGGTTTAATTTTCAACCGGTGTCCTGTAAAAATACTGCAAGTATTTATCAACCATTTCCTCCGTTTCCGTGTAATTAACACTTGAAATGTAGTTTGCCATCGGTACGTATAGTTTAGACCTTGGGATACGGCTTTGCACGAACCCCTGGAATAAACAGTGCAAACTAAGAGCAGTCGATGAAGTTGACCGTAAACTTACTCGGTATCTAAAGTTTAGAATAGTGTGCGGGATATTCAAAGAATGATTATCTTCTAGTTTTAACGAGACGAATATTATTGATTTTTGAACATTTACAATGAAAATGCAATATTGATTGTGATTTAGGAGAGTATTAATTATTTATAATATTAGAAACATTGACCACGTGGCTCTTTAAGTTTCAGATATTATTCATCCAAGACACGGAGTTTTAGAAACTTACGCTAATTTTCACGGACTACATATAACATGTTCAGAGTTGCAGTATCTGCACAAATATTAATACTCATGTGATTCACCAAACAAATTATATTATTATGTATTTTTATGATTTTATCAATTCGCTCAGTCGAGTATTATCAGTTTCTTTAGATATTGTTTTCGTACTACACGGACATTTAATTTTCAATTAAAACATGATGATTTATCAAAATTAATTGAGTTACGAATCGGTTAGGTTAAGTTAGATTAGCTAACCTAAAAAGTAACATTAATTTAAAACGCTGCAGTAACTTATATTTAAATGTATAATTTATCCGGAGAAAGAATATTGAAAATTGATGAAACTTTAATTTTTTATTTGCTTGATATTATTTTATTAAATGTAAATTCTTAAAATTTATTTTTTATAAAAATAATATTTTTTTCCGTCATTTTCATCTAATATGTCACATGGGGTTTTATTTAATTGCAGTCTAGATTATGCAGGGAACCTATTTCATATTGAAGCGAGTTGTGTCGTAGGATATGAAATATATTTTACTAAGGAGCGGGCAGGGTGGGCATTGGATTTTATGTTACTTCTGATGGGAGCGATAAAATAATATATCAAATATTATAGGGTTCACCATTATCCTTTCGCCTTACTATTGATGTATATGTAAGTTTTTTTTCTTTTTTTATCAAAATTGAAATCTTAAAACAGGTATTTTTACACTTGTACGTTTTAATAAAAACATGAAAATATGTTTTGAAAATCATAAAAGCAAATCGATAATTGCTGTTTTAATAAAATACAAATACTGATTCGATAACAAAGATTTATTAGATTATCTTTTTATACTAATTATAAATTAATCAATTATGGTTCTAAAGCCGAGTGGTGAAAATTCTAACTACATTCATATAACTACCAGTAAACTTATGAAAAGTTTTGCGCGCAAATAAATGTTATAAAATGAGAGTTTCGAAGTTCGAAATGTATGTTTTTTAAAATATTAAGAGTGTATGTCTATAATAACAATTTAGCCAAATTTGGTTCTTCGAAAACACTTTTGGTTTGAAAAATTATCGATGATTCTTTGTACCCATGGCATATAAAAATAATAACATTTTAACAGTGTATGTAATAAAAACAAATAGACGTAGACAGTTGTAAGCATTTTTGTATGCGGCTATAAGGATTAGAATGTGCAAAATAAAGATTCGTAAGCACATAGGATGGTTACGAATCGAATAAGATTCATATTTGACTTGAGAATACGTTGACACGTTAAAGGATTTAATTCACTGGTATCATTGGTCATACGCGTGCGCGTAAAATCTAAACTCAGGATATCATTAATACGAGTACATTTTCGATTCCGGGTAACGATAAAATAATAGCAACGAATCTCAAAGACAAACGCCAAGACGTTGGTCAATATGTCTTATCTCAATACGCGCATTACTTTAGTGAAAATATAATATTTCAGGGGCGTTCGTACGGACGGTGAGTAATATCAGCGAGGGTGAGCAACAATAATACGAACACACTAGTAGAATACGTATTTGTGTATGTGCGTGTGTCCCTGTTGGTACCCTTGGTTACGATTGGTAACGGATATCCGCACTGTTTGATCTATTCACAATCCACGGTTCGTTAACGATGTGGTGGTCGGTTTAATGTATTTAAAACGTTGTATTGTATCGTTGGGTGTCATTGTTGTGAAATATACCATGAAATATTTTGAAATTCGTGACAGTTATTTACGGATATCGTAATTTAACGGTGTCGCGACTACGTGTATTTCGGTTTTAAATCCAGAAACTTTTTTGCTGTTAAATTGGTGTGTATGTTCTGTTTCGTTTTCCGTGAGACAATCCATAATATAAAACTATACTAAGTATGATACAAACATTTATTAATCACAAAGCATTACTTGATAGCGAAATATTATTAATTGTTTGTGTTCATATCGAGTTAAAACTAATCAATTGTAACTGCAGCCATGAATGTTTGAGTATTGAAGAAGAATAGAAAAATTGAGGAAGAATATTCTCGTTTAGGTCTTGACGATATTAAGTAGGAAAGTAAGTTATGAATTATTTTTATACATACACATAATTATAAATATTGTAAGCAATTTATAATTTAATAAATTTGTCGGTTGACATCTCGATACTCTTTATTCTTCAATAAATCAGGTGTTTTAATATAATATATTTTCGTTACTAATTTGTTATTAAATTTTATTCACAAACGTTAATAATATGTTTTAATGATAATTAATTGGGTACCTATCCATTATTATGATTAATATTTTTATTATAATACTTTGTCGACGATTTTTTGATATACAATGAGATGAGAGGAAATATTTACCTATTTATTTTAATATTGTTTTGCATTTTAAGTTTGACTTTATTTTTATTTTTATTATTACTCAATGTGAATATTTAAAATATTCGATGTTTAAACTTAGACATTTAACGTTAGTAAAAATAATAAGAACAGTGGCCGTAATGCTACTTTATTAGTTGTAATAAATATATTCCTATCTGTTGCTGTTATTTAATTATAAATCAAAATGGTTTTTATTTTAAGCTATACAATATATGTGTTAGCTTAGTTATAATAAATAAAGAGAATATATATTTTTATTTTAGAACTTTATGAGTAAAAGTGGATACTTCAGGAACGTTAAATATTGATAACATTATTGGGAAACTTGTAGTTTATAGTGTATGTGTTAAATATGTAAATATATAAAAAAAGAAAGAAACGAAAATGGGAAATTCTACTTTATTATAGTAATAGTTCAGTTCTATTGAATTTATATAAATACTATAACGTAACGGGTCCGAAAGTCAAACACTATCAGGTCTTCATCAAATTAAATATTTATTAAAATCAGTGTAGTCGAAGTTCTTCTATGACCCTCTCTAAAATTGAACGCAATCAAATAGTTATCAAGGAAAAATAACAGCAAACAAGTATCATACATTGTAAGAGGAAGGCTTAATCGTCGCTAGTTTCCCTTAATTGCGTCTATAAGCTAGGTTAAATCAAATAAATGCTAATAATTTTCGTTATTAAATTCAGATGTGTTATAACTCTAGGATCTATATATTCGCCTATACTTACAAACATTGCTACTATAAAAACAAATAAGTCAAATTTTTTAAAAAAAAACACATTTTTTCGATCATAATTCATAATCATAATTGAATGTTTAATTTTTAATTTTTTTTTTTCTGTTATGGATGAAAAACGTTTTAGTCTTCATTCGTCGCGATGAGCAAAGATTATGTACCACTTAGTCGATCATCGACTTCAAACAAACCATTATTGTACCCGAACAAAATATTGTCCAATATTCCACCGTGTTTTTCAACTTCTCCTCGTAGAACATGTTCACCCTCGGTGTTTTACGATGATACCGGTTGGAACGATGAGAGAGAGATCAGACAGTTCTTGGACACCGTCCCGGTCGTGCCGAAATTGCCGAAAATGCCGGACATCAGTAAATATTTGAATAAGAGCAAAACTGTACAACAAAAGAAAAAAACAAGCGATCGTAGTGCTATAATCAAAAACTATATGTGAGTGTTTACTATTGTGAATAATATTTAAACAATATATATTATATTATAATACATGTATTTGTATACAATAGTATTTACTATTGTAGTTGATAAAATTGTACTCGCGATAGCAACTATATAGTGTAGTCCTCATTTAAGCGCAGCGCCCACCAAAGTAACATGACGCGTAATCTGACGAGTGATATGACAAGTAACGTGTTAGTAACGTGCCATTCGTAAAATTTTATTTATAATTATAACGAAAAATCACTTAATTGCGCTCACCAATTCGACATGTCAGATCATATGTAATATTGTTGTTACTTGTCGCGCAAAATAATAGAGCTTGTACTACTTTTTGTCATTTGTCACGTGGAGAAGCGCATAGACGTTGATAGGTTGACGACATGTGCTACAGAGTAAAAAGTCTTTTTTCTGAATATCTGGTCCAACTAACCTAACCAACTCTTCAAATGTCGATTTTTCCATTCAATAAAAACTTTTAAAACGATCAGGATCGTTTAACTCTTTAAATACGGAGTATACACCACGGGAACAGCAATTTTTACGCCAAAATGGATGGACCCAGTATTTGCGCACAGTAGAACCTTGATTGTAATTTAAATAATTTACTAAATTTATTGCAGCAATAGCGTCTTCATCCTCAGACGACATTTTGGCAAATGAAAAAAAAAACATAGAAATGACTTGTCATTAGAAAATCATGTAATTTTGGTGCGAGTTACACAAATCACTTGTTACTTATTGGTCATATCTAGGGACCGGATTTATATGCAAATGCATATATGTATTGGAATAAGCTTTTTGAAATCTGATGAGCATTGTCCCCGATTTAGATCTTTCTTATTAAAATAAAACTAATTTTATTTTGCATATTTTGTATATTTCAACGTTTTTACCTACTAAATGCATATTCAATGCATATTTATAGTTTTGTAATACATATTATAATTAATAACACATATATTCGTTTTCGTCGTATTTTCACGATCACTGCCACATAATATCGATAAAATTGCGACCGGTGTTTATTTCCAAAGATAAGATTACATACTCATATCATCCAATGCAATATGGTAAAATATGAATTCAATTTTTGTTTTCACTTTTTATTATTGTGGGTATTTATACTTTATAGATTGAAGATAAAGAATGTAAATGGCGACAAAGATGACAAAATATTTTAAAAGATTTTTTATACTTTTTTTAATACCGTATTAATTAATGATTATTTTTTTTATTTATAATACATTTCACATATTTGTACATAATTTTAAACAACATTTTAAGTGAATATTTAAGTACATATTTAAAAATAAATACATATTTTATAGCATATTACAGCATTTTTAGAAGCATATTTTGAGGATTTTTTGTGCATATAAATTCGGTCCTTAGTCATATCACTCAACAGATCACACGTTATGTGACTTTGGTGAGCGCTGTACCTTATAGGAATATTAAAATTAATCAATCCCTCTATGTATCTCAAAGTGGTTAAAAAATCGGAAAATAGGGTTGCTCTTTCGTTTTTTTGAGTTTAATTAAAAAAAAATATGACACTTATCGAAACATGTATAAAGTGTAGTTTATATATATATTTATATTGTCAATGAAAAATATTGTTACATATTTTTCATAAACCTAATATTATTAAAGAAAAATGATTACTACATTTAATTTATTTTACAAAATTTGTTTTTATATGATTATTTATAATAATTTTAGAAACGGTTGGTGATACATCTTGATATATTTTGAGTAAAGACAAAATAAAAATTCCTTAAAGGAAAGGTCATAATTATAATTTCTATATTAATGCAATATTTAGATAAAATTGTAATTAGTGTTTAGGTAATAATCATAAAAATGAGGCCGTGCGTCTAGTCGTCGTCGCGGTATTAAAATCAATATGCTGTTGCTTAATGAGCATTGTGGAACATCTTCCAAAGTAACCAAAAACTGAGAATATTTAATACATTCGAAAGATAATTTTTTGTACACTTATAATAATGATATGCGCATTTGCATAGTGTTTTTTCATACTTTATTGAACCATACTCGTGTAGAGATAACCAAATGAGTTTGTTAGTATATTTACTACTTAGTTATTTATTTTTCTTTAACGAGGTTTTATTAATTACAATTTTAATCTTAAATAATTTAATGTATTTATTTTTAAAATAATTTAAAAATAATGACAATGCAAAAAAAGCTTTTAATTCAAATTGTCTATTAACTGTGAATTTGAATGGCAAAATATCCCATATTATTGGGAAAGATAATGTTGATCGTTTTCCTATTCCAGTATCTGGAGATGGAGTTTGTAAGCTTATTTTGAATGCTTCAAATCTGGAACTGAGGAAGCTATGCCAAATGCTATTGTAGAATCATTATTTCATTGGAGTATAAAAAATCAATTAGTAAACTAAAATTTGACACAACAGCACATAAATTGATCATGTAATGTAGTCGAAAATAAAACCGGTAAGAAATTATTGTAGCTCGCATGTCGTTTTACTACGTGCATTATGACACTCCTTCGACTGATTAAGGGGAGTTGTCAGAACTCATAACTATCTATGTCGGTGGTGGTCCTATCAGAGATACCTATAGCATTAATTCAGCCTAGAGCAGTACATCAGACACATAATGGATTGTTCGTGTTATTTACATCATTAAAATGTGTCATTTAAAAATGCAATAAGTTCATATGAAGAGATTTTAATTTTTTACTGTTCTGATTTATGTATTCTATTAGTTTAAAGTTCTCGTAAAAGATTTAAGTTAACTAAATAAAATTGAATATATAAGAGATGGTTAATACCAATAGATTTAATTAGTTATTAAATAATTGCTTTATTTTCAGTAATTTTATGGAAAATCAACGTCAATTATTTTTTAATTTTATAGTTATAATTTTTTCGGGGTTTTTTTATTAGCTCAGTATAATGTAAACGATACTGTTTCAATAAAACAATAATTTTAATGTATATTTATGGTATTTTTCTTTAGAAATTATATTTACTCAAGATATATCAAGTTGTATCACTAACCTTTACTAAAATATTTATAAATAATCGCATAAAAATCAATTTTGTAAAATAAATTAAATATTAAGTATATTTTAATTTTTCTGAAAATTAGTAGGTTTATGATAAATTTTATAAACATATATTTTCTTGGAAATATTTATGTACATAATTTACATGGTATATATTTTTTGATGATTGCAATCGCTTAGATTAAATTCAAAAAAAAAAAAAAAACGAAAGAACGACCCTATGTATTTTTCAATTATTCGACTGCTTTGAGGACACGAAGGGTTTGATTAATCATGACCAAATTTAACAATAATTACTTCCTTATAGTAACGAACAAAACAGGAAAGTAAGATATCGAAAATTTGAAAGTTAAAAATTAATTAACACTCTAAGTTATGAATATAAATGTTGTGATGAATAAATATTCACTCGCTACATCTTTCTTAGGAACGAGTGCGCTGTAACTCAGAAAATTGACTTGATGATGGCTAGAAAATCGACACCGGCTGGACGTCAAGAAGAAGTCAAGATGCCGCAGATTTACTATCATAAGCTGCTCAGGGGTTTTGCTGATGAAGTAGAACCGACTTCTATGCAAGAATCGTGGATAGAAAATATACTCGAAGTAATATAAAACAACGAACGATATTTTACACTTCGGTGCGCCAATATACGTTTCGTATAATTTTTTCTTAAACACCTGTCGAATATTTTAGAAATCGGAAACTGTGCGCTGGAAAAGAACTAAAGTTTCGGCGTCTCTCATAGACGAAGTGAAAGCTGAATATGTTAAAGTGATAAAGAAGCTGCAAGTTGAAGGTATTGTAAAGCCTATCCCGGACTCTGATCAACCGTTACCGGTAACACCGCGGGAGAAACCTTTGATTACGGCGTAAGTATAATGATTTTTAACTCTATTAACGACGTGGACGCGTGATGATATTTCAAATTGTATTTTCTACCGTTTCCAGTGTGGGGGGTAAAACCAAAAACTATCCGTTGTTTTTGAAAAGAAAAAAGCTTTTGATGAAACGTTTACACACCACTCATCCGACTACGATCAATATACTGTATTTTACAAAACGACAGGTCCCTAAGATGATGATCAACGCCGAATCTTATAAGTATAATTAATTTTCTCTTTGTAGTAGTGTACATAATCATTATTATTACTAGCGAATCGTGTACAATTCGATTTCTGACATTATATTTAGATTTAACGAATTTTCTCGAGACCTCGATGACTTAATGGCTACTTTAGAACATGACTTCAGAAAGCAAGAGACGTACTTGACTAAGGACTGGTACAAGAAAATCATATTGATTTTAATAAAAAGAGGCGCAATAGACGGCATCACATCGAACACACTTCCGCAATTTCTTAAAGGTGTAACAACTATTATAAGTTTGGAAGTATGTTAAAAGTCAAATATTTTAAATAGACATTTACTGTTTTATCATCATATAATATAATTTACATACATAAAAGTACAAAACTACTTATTACTAATTAATCTAATAATTTCATGTCCAATAAAGATTGAAACATTAATCTTATCACGTGTCTGTTTAATCTATTCATTTACAGATGGAACGTATGATATTAAAATCAATTGATCATATAGTGAAAGTATTTGGAAATGCAACTACGGCACCTAAATTAAATTTTAAGTTACAATTTATTGGTTCTAAATGTATTAGCACACCTAGTGTGAGTGAAATATATGATCAATACTGTTCGGTTTTGAATTTAGTAAGTGTGAAACAAAATCAAATTTTATTTATGACGCATTCTTTTTTCTTGGAAAATAATTCTATAGTAATGTAAGAGCTTTAAACGGTTTTTAGTACCATTATTCATAAAATATTTAAATCAATATAAAAATTGAATTTGAATACACAGAAAAAAAAAAATAATAGAACTCACAGTTTTCGAGAAAAAAAATTCCCGTATTCTAACTATTTTTTAATATTCAGCATAACCTTACCATTGTCGAGTTAAAACGCAATTTCTTAAAATATAATTTATTTCTAAGTATTCTTTCGGCAGTACAATTTAAATAATTGTAAAATGTTGGTTTTTAACATATTCAAATTGGTATTTTGTGAATTTTACTACGGTAAATCATTATTATTATTTATTGAAGTAGTTTTCTTTAGCTCAACACTGCTGTCAGTGAATTACCATCCTTGGAGTATCGTTTCGGTGTACCGGTAAATTCTCAGTTTATTTCAATCAAGCGTGGTCGACAGAATTTAGATGAAGCGAAATGTAATTTGGCCGAAAAACTGAATTTTATGTATAATGAACTGACGGCGTACTTGAAGAAATTAGGTTAGACCGAAATAGATTGTAAAACCGTTATATTCCACATTAATAGGTACATTATACATTATAATGACGTTACGTTTTTACGTGAATCGTTTACAGCAAATGATTTCAGTGAAGTTGTAAATGAAAATCAGCGCAAAGATCTTTCTAGGTACCTGGAGGAGCCTCACACGTACGACGAGCTGTTAGGAAAGTTAAATTGGTTTCAGAGTTATAGGAACAAGGCTATAGAGCTGGTAGATGGTTGGAATTTCGAACTCGGAAAGTAAAGTGAATGCGATAATTTTTTCTGTAGCGGTTGTATTGACACTGAAATTATTATTACAATAGTATTGACCAGATTGATATGAAAAATCATCTATGTGATTTAGCCAAGAGCTATATGGATCAAATCATTGAGCACATAGTTTTCAAGCAACTTAGTAACGATGAGAAGTAAGACGTTTATTTTTGAGTTAATATTTTTATCGATAATAATATTTTTTTGATTTGATTTTTTCGTGTTCCTTTATTGTAACTATCTATTCCATGATGATAAGGCCTTCGTTAGCTTGGTAAGTTTGCGATCCGTTTATGGTTTGTTGGGGAAATCTTTCAGTCGTAACGATTTCACAGGGTATGTTTTAAATTCAACGAAATGGTTTCGCGCGCCATTTCCAAGCCGAAAAACTCTGAAGAATTTCTCGCGCTCGGTGATTACATGTTGTACGCTAGCACCGCGTTTATGACAGAGATGATCCAGACGACCAAAGAGTTGACGGTGATCGCATGCAACATATCTCAGTACGCCGTGCTGCCTGGAGAATTTTGGGAAGCCCACGCGTCCGCGATCAAGTGGATACAAAACATATCTCCAGTTTTCTTCAAATATTCCACTATTTACGAAGCCGGAAAATCGAACGCAGAAGAAAACCTGGCAAAAGTGATCAGCACGTTGAACTACGATTTGGATGCGTTTGCGCCTAACCTTGCATTCTTAGATCGTATCGACGACGTGGACAAATTGTACGAATACAAACTGGTAATATGAACAATGTTCGTTTACACGTGCCATAGTTAGGTTCCGTGAATTGAATTCGTTTCCAGTTCGTCAACACGTTGCAAAGAAAAATTGAAAAATTTGATGACACCGTCTCTTGGATTAACAGGGAAGAAGAACTGTTTAACAAACCGATCAGCACATTCCCGGAACTCGATGAAATAAAAGTAATTACATATATGAAAACATGTTTACTGTATAGTTGCACATACCAGGTCGAAATGCTAAACATCTGTGTCTAATATTTTAAAATAAAAAGAGAGTGTATCAAATTTAATGTAAGTTCTCCTTGAACAATTCAATTATCTCAATAAACTAATCTCTACATTTTATCAACTGAGAGATTTCAATATTTTCGATTTATTCATTTTTTTTTTATTTAATCATTGTTTCCAGCTCTTAAATATTTCATTTTAAACTTCCATCTATAAAATTGTATTTATCAATACAGTACTTAGTGGTACAAGGATACAACACATATTTGGATATAAAGTACAACTTATAATATATGTATTATGATATATAACATATTAAATTATATATACGTATATACGATATAATTGATAACATAAAATGTATTATTTTCTTTGTAAAACAAATAAAATAATATTAAAACTAATATAATTTTATACTATGAAAACATATGATTATATGTTATGTTTATCCGTAGGATTTTACGAAACCGTTCGTTGATCTCATCACATTTTCCTACCGTTGGTTTTTGAAAAAGAATATATGGATGCGTGGCGATTTCGATACACTTACTTTATCAGAAATTGAGATTACTATCGATGAGTTTTACAAGTAAACTATATAGTGATATATTTTGATTTTGATTATGAAAACTGATTGTAGCTAATTACCAATAATGTACGGTGTTTTTTATTTTAGAGATGCGTCAAACATGCAAAAACTATTGAGAGTTAAGTGCAAAGAAATGCTATCACAAAACTACAGCAAAAGATATGAGGGTATAATTGACGATATTGACATGAACTTGTGGCCTGCACCTTTGAAAATAGCACACCAAACAATAAACAGCATGCAAGAGTTTAGAGTTAGTATTTACTGATATTATAGTTTATCATTGTAAATAGAATCGTTCGTCATACAACAGATTAATGTAAATAAATAACCACAGTTGGGTACATTTCAAATACGAGTTTGTGTTTTTGTTTGTTTAAATATTTTAATAAATATTTTTATTTATTTTATGTACATTACAATTATGGCATCATTTGTCGCAAGAAGAAATTAGTTTTTTGAATAATTTTTATTATTATTTTTTATTATTTATTATATTAATATTTTTCAAATCATTTTCGAGGATGATATTACTGAATGATTTATGTATATCCGGCTAATATTTAATCATTTGGTGAACTAATAATAATATTCAAAGCAAAAAGTTTTATCGACATCAAAGAATTGAAAAATTGTATACACATTTATTAAGTCATGGTTTTTCCTAAATTTAAAGAGAAAAACTGATTATATTGTAATGACTACACTATTTGTGTGTACTTCTCTAATGAATTAGTTGAAAATAATAGTCTTCTTCGGTCTTCGAAGTTGTTTTAATTATGTGGGTATTATGCTGGATTAAAGATTTAACTAAGACTCGTACATAACAACTGAAAAGATCTATATATATATGTAGTGAAACATAGAATTTTATTTTTTCATTGAGTACAAAGAAAAATATAAATTTAAACGAATCCGTTTAATAATATATTGTTTCATTAGGAAAAAAATAATAATGCACGAAGGAAAATATATTAATAATAATTTATTTTACGATTGTGCCGATAATATAGGGTTTTATTTTTTAAAAAAAAGTTATAAGTAAGAATAAAATAAAATTAATTTCAATCGATAGCCGATTTAGCATTTTTTCTCGAAAATGCTATTGTGTTATGTATAAAAGAATAAAAATTTATTGCCACATCGAACAAAAGCGATGTCTTTTCATGAGAATAAAACTTACAACAAATCAAAACTAGAATTGTACGAATTGAATAATCATCGGAACGCTGGTGTTTTTTCCCCTTTCTTTTCGCCTCTTAAAATATAATGTTTTTCAGCAATATATGCCAATGATTAGAATTATGTGTAATCCGGCTCTGAACGAGAGGCATTGGGAAGAGATGTCCGAACTCGTAGGGTTCGACTTGACACCAAATGCCGGCACAACACTTACGAAAATCATTGATTTGCATTTAGAACAGCTATTGCCTCAGTAAGTTGAACTTTAGTCTGTAGTCCGGATGACAAATAATTAGTTAGAAAATTACGAATAACGTAATGCACGCGAGCACAATGAAGCGGCACAGTAGCGTAAATCATTTTTCTGGCAAAAGTATTCGATAAACACGAACCGACCATGTGCAGTCTGTAAAATACGAAATATCATATCGCACCGTAGCTCTTTTGTACAAAATACTGGAACATGGCGACTGTGACCTGTCGCCGCACGTGTGTACGTGTTTGCAGAGTCACCTGGATATTTCGTTCGTCTATATTTTTCCATTTTCATACACTATGTGTTTTTATATATGTATATTTTTTTTGCTTTGGTATTTTTTCAGCTTTGAAAGTTATAGTTTGAACCGCAATGTTGACTGCGCGAAATGAAAACTGAAATATTATGCGTCTATTTACTTACTACGTAGGTAAATAATAATATAGTTCTGATAGCATTTGAATTGAAAGTTAATAGGAATGTTTTATTGTAGCGTATTTTTTTTTATTTTATTTTTTTTATTTATTCACAACAAATTTTTAACAAAGGCAAATCTCGACGTTGAGTTTCGACGAGACATAATACGGATTGAATTCTGTTTTATTTTATTCGCAAAAATCAGAGTAAATGTTTCGACAACACTTTGATATTCAATCCCTGATACAAACGATTTGAAAACTCTATACATTTTAATATTTATTTATAATTATAAATTGTATATATATAGTAATAAAATTGTATTTAAACTTACTTTGAGTATGACTCGATCGACACAACGCATAGTCGACAAATTTTATATATTGTGTTTTGCGGGTCTGTTATCCATCAGGTTTTAAGCATCGCCATAACAGCTCATTTGCAACAGTTAAGGAAACCGAAGGCACACGTACACATACAACTTATATTGGTGTAGGACAGTCCGAACGAATAAAAGAGAATGGGCGTGCTCGTGTTCGGTTTCCTTTGTTGGGCGAACGATATGCCAAAGGACCCATTATCAGTTAGGACATGATTTGTTGACATTTCGTTCTTCAGTCGAAATTTGGTCTTAACGGTGTGTAAAGTCGAACTTCATTAAACATGTTTTTCATGTATTTAATTAATATTTCTAGTGGAATTTAAGGATTAAACTGATAAACGGTGCCTTCAATTAATGAGTTTATATAAAGACAAAACAAGAATCGACTGTAAAACGTCGGAGTCATCCACCAACGCTTCTTTTTTTTTTTTTTTAATGAATATATTATTACAAGACCAACACTTGATATTAATAAGTCGTCGTCACTAATGTCAATTCTTGACATTTTACTTTAATTAATTTTTTTTTTGTAAGTATAGGTTTGTTTAAAATAGTTATAATAAAGTTTTGTATTAAGATAATTATTTTTATTTCTTTATTTTATACATTTTGTTTGATTATTTTCTTGTCAATGTTCCTTATTTATAATAAGTATAATAAAAAATGTTTATAAAATTGTTAATAATATTTAAATATTTTGTTTGGAATGTTTGAACCTATACAGAAAAAAAAAAAAAACAAAAACAAAATATACGTTCTTCTCGTTGATTAATAATTATTTAACTGTTCGTTAGGAGTTGTGTGATTATTTCCAATCTAAAAGGTTCAACGTGTATTGTTGTGTTGGTCCTGTTTGAGTTTTATATTTATTGTATTCGTTCTATGTTCGAAAAAAAACTCGATATAATTAAACGCGTGTAAATACAGCATTGTTTGAAAACTCAAATATAAAATAAAAATAATAATATAACTCGAGTTTGTAAATAATACTGAATTGTTAAAATCTTGTTCTTGTAATTGCACGCCGTCAGTTAAAAACAATGTAAATTCCTGTTCGGAGTAAATCATTGGAATACTCTAGGTGTGTTTGTCTATACTAAATTTGAGTTGGTTTTCTGCAGATTTGATATTATCAGTATAAGCGCTACCAAAGAAGAACAGTTATGCAAATCGTTAGAAAAAATGAAAGAAGAATGGAAAACGATTACGTTATCCACCAGTCAGTACAAGTGAGTACCACGATTTGTTTTTTGTTGCTCATGTGATAATGTACACCAAAAGTTTGATCATTTTTATTCGTGAACAGATCGAAGCTTTTTCTCATTTGACTTAAGTTCCTATCAAGTTGATATCGTATCTTAATTTTTTATCGCGTTAAACCACAATGTTCCTGAATCGAAAGTTTTATAAAAGCTCGGAACAATGTTTGATGAAGTAACGGTTGAATCTCCTTGGTTTAATCTTTAATAAATCTCTGTTGCAAATCGTACTTATACGTTAAGTAGCAACTGGCGAACCGTTTAATCATAGTAATTCGAAATCGATCAATGATCTAATCCTCTGCGACTATTTAAGATAAGCTTTTCTTTCTTGAGCCGCAATGAACAATCTTAATAGGACCTATCAACGGGTTTTATGTTAACGAGATGATGATTTATTTACCACCTTACTATCTGTCAAACATGATAAACGCTAAATTTTTTCCGTGGTATAGATAGTTGGTTTTCATTTTATGATTCTTTAGTCGGATTTAAAAATCATTTTGAATCTATATATTTTTTTTAATGATTGTAATATCAAAACCTATATTTTGGTTTGTCACTTTTGTTTTGAAAATATTTTAGCTATATTTCTATGGTATAAATAAAATAAAATATGTAACACGTAATAAATATTATGTAAATGATACGTAATATATAATTTACAATAATATATAATATATATATACAATAATATAAATATTTTTTATAAATTATAACATAATATTTAATTGTTAGTCTTTCCGAATGATGGCATTACATCTTGATAATCGTATTTATTGTTGTATCCAAATGTGATTTTTCTTTAGTTTGATCATAATAATTGTAATTATAATAAATTGGTTCTAGTTGTTTTGATTACATTTTTTCAAAGGAATACACAAATAAATATACTGGCCGGATTAGATGATATACAAGCGGTACTTGATGATCATTTTTTCAAAACCCTATCAATTCGTGGTTCAGCGTTCGTTAAGCCTATAGAAAGCGAAGTAAAAGAATGGTTTGACATAGTGAATCGTATGATCATGACACTTGAAGAGTGGGCAAAAGTACAGAACCAATGGCTCTATCTTATGCCGATATTTAGTGCCGAGAACATCGTTGCTCAAATGCCGAACGAAGGAGTTCTGTTCGATGTAATACAACTTAATTATATGTTCTCCTCATGTCGACACGGATAACATTGACACGTTATTTTTATTAGGAAACTAATGTGATTATCAGAGGTTTACTAAATTTAGTCGATTCCGACCCAATAGCCATTAAATGCGTTGGTCAAAAGGGTATTTTAGAGTCATTGGTCAACTGTATCGAAATGATGGAAACTATTAAAGTAGGCGTTAACAACTATTTGGAGAAAAAACGTTTATTTTTTTCGAGGTATAGTTAAAATGTATACGATAAGCATATTAAATCGGTATGTTTAATATTTGTTGGTATTATAATATTTAAATTAAAATTTAGATTTTTCTTCCTTTCGAACGATGAACTGTTGGAGATTTTATCAGAAACAAAAAATCCAAAAAGAGTTCAACCCCATCTAAAAAAATGTTTCGAAGGAATCGCTAGTCTTGAGTTTAACAAGAATTTAGATATCATGAAATTCTTAAGCAACGAAGGTGAAGAAATCGTCCTCGTCCAATGCATTTCCACCGTAGACACAAGAGGATGCGTAGAGAAGTGGTTGTTTCAGGTACAGTCTGAAATTAAGTATAGTACTTGAACTCGCAGGTGTTAATTATTTATTCTCATTGGCATTCCATTTACAGGTTGGAGAACAAATGGTCACATCGGTGAAAAATTCTATCGAAAGTGCTTACCACGAATATCCGACTATAGAACGGACTACATGGGTCCAAAAATGGCCAGGTCAAAGCGTTTTGTGCGTCAGTCAAATGTTTTGGGCCGCCGAAGTTCATGACGTGTTCATTGTGCAAAAATCAGGACAAATGCGAAATTATCACAAGTTTCTGACCGTACCGTTCGTCCGTGGTCGGGTGATTTTTATATTTTCTCATCGCGTTCAATGTTTATTGGCAGGAGCAATTGAACAGCACCGTGAAGTTGGTACGCGGTAAGTTGAAGAAGAAGACCAGGATAACCCTGAGTGCGTTGGTTACGCTAGACGTGCACTGCAGACACGTGGTAGACGAGCTTGCCAACAACAACGTAACTTGTGACACCGATTTCAAATGGCTCAGTCAGTTGAGGTGACCGCAATTCGTTCATTCGCTGTAACGATAACGATTGTTGTCCAAACATTTAGATTAGTAAAGGAAATAATAGAATGATTAGTAAACGAAATCAAAACAATCGAATAATCTAATGATTAGTAGTCGAAAACAAAATATTCGAATGATTAGTAAACGAAATCAAAAATAATCAAATGATCGAACGATTCATGATTTTATTGCTTGAACTGGTTGTATAAATAATCAAATGATTATCTATAAGCGTGAAAGTGAAATGCATTAATCTAAATATTTATACGTGTTAAACCGATTAATGTGGCGATTACCGATACCGGGAATTATACCAATGATTAAAAATAAATAAAAATAAAATAAATCCATTTATTTGCTTTTGATAAACATGTCTGGTATCATTATTTGGATTATTAAAATCATTCGATTATTTCGATTATCGAAAAATAATAGTTGAATGATTCGATTATTTTGAATAATCGAATGATTCTATTATTCTATTATTCATTTTTTCCCATCACTAATTTAGATACTATTGGGAAGACGACGTGCTGGTTCGTATCGCCAATGCGACCGTAAACTACGCGTACGAGTACCTGGGGAACACGCCCAGGCTGGTCGTCACACCGCTGACGGACCGATGTTACCACACGCTGATAAGCGCGTATCGTATGCACTTGAACGGCGCCCCCGAGGGACCGGCGGGTACAGGTAAAACGGAGACCGTGAAAGACTTGGCGAAAGCTTTGGCAGTGCAGTGCATCGTGTTCAACTGTTCCGACGGTCTCGATTACTTGGCGATGGGTAAAGTACGCGTCGATGGCCGTCGGTTTTCGGGTACCGCAGTGTTTAACCACAGGGTCGTGTGCTTTTAGTTTTTCAGAGGGTTAGCTTCATCCGGAGCTTGGGCATGTTTCGACCAGTTCAATCGCGTCGGCGTTGAAGTGCTGTCCGTGGTCGCGCAACAGATACTGACCGTAGCGCAAGCGGTGAGATCGAACGCGGACCGTTTCGTTTTCGAAGGCGCAGCGATAAAGTTAAACCCCAGATGCTACGTTTGCGTTACCATGAACCCAGGGTACGCTGGAACGTCCGAGTTACCGGATAATTTAAAGGTACGGAATCCGATGAGAGCTGACGATCGATAACTAACCGGATGGAATATAAATTGTATCGTAATTCGCAGGTATTGTTCAGAACTGTGGCTATGATCGTGCCGGACTATGTGATGATTGGAGAGATTTCGTTGTATTCTTATGGTTTTATAAACGCAAGAGCATTGTCTGTCAAAATCGTTACCACATACAAACTGTGCTCAGAACAATTATCATCTCAATCGCACTACGATTTTGGTTAGAGGCATTATCCATTCGTTATGAATTTAAGTTCCCGGACTGATATTGATAACTGTCAATGAACTAAAATTGAAATATATTTTTTAATTTTTGTGCTATTATTATACTGATACTATTTACTATCAGAATATTTTTACGTGTTTCGTAAAATAGCACAAGAGCACAATAGCACAAAAATTAAAAGATATATTTCAATTTTAGTACATTGACAGTTATCAATATCAGTCCGGGAACTTAAATTCATAACAAATATGTAATTAATTTATTTTCAGTCTATTCATTATAAGTAAAAATTAAGTTATAATATTGGTTGTGTGTAAGTACAGGTGTTGGAAAAAAATTCTCAGCTTGATGTATTTTCTGAGAAACCGATTACGCTACGAAAATGTAAAAATTATATAACTGTATAAAGAAGTATGAAAATAAATTAATTACATATTTGTATTTTTTTTACTCCAGTCCATTAACTCGATTGTTTATTTGTATATTTTCGATTTTCGGTTTAGGTATGCGAGCTGTCAAGACCGTCATAATAGCAGCTGGTAATTTAAAGATGAAATTTCCTGATGACGACGAATCAGAATTAATGCTGCGATCGATTTTAGATGTTAATTCGGCCAAGTTTTTAAATAAAGACATTCCTTTGTTTAACGGTATAATTTCAGATCTGTTTCCTGGTTTAAAATTATCAAATCCAGTCCATGATGATTTAATTGATGCCGCTAAGATAGTTAGTTTATATTTAAAATATTGTATAATATTTTTTACTTGATCGTGATTTTTACAGGCTTGTTCAAAGATCAATTTACAGCCCATTGACATTTTTATGGAGAAACTGATTCAAACCTACGAAATGATGGTAGTTCAACATGGTTTTATGTTGGTTGGCAAACCATTCGGTGGGAAGACTTCATTGCTTCATTTACTCGCGGAAACGTTAAGCTTACAGAATAAACTAGGCCGAGGGGAACAAAAGGTTGAATATGAAACGGTGAATCCTAAAGCATTGACAATCGGTCAACTATACGGATGTTTTGATGATGTTTCGCACGAATGGACCAGTGGAGTTGTGGCCAATATATTTCGGTATACTATTATTTATTTAAACAACGTGTGCACACACATAATACTCGAATATCATTATGTTAATATATTAATGTTTAATGTACATTTTAATCGATTTATAGAAAATTTTCAATGTCAGATACCCTGGATAGGAAGTGGTTAATATTTGATGGTCCGGTTGATGCAGCTTGGATAGAAAACATGAACACAGTATTGGATGATAATAAAAAGTTGTGCTTGAGTTCCGGTGAAGTAATCGGTATGCCGGACTGCATGTCAATGATATTTGAAGTTATGGATCTCGTACGGGTCAGTATTCAGTGCGCGTAGTATAAGTTCAACTGTTTTGATAAATTAAAGTATAAACATTTCAGGCGTCCCCTGCAACTGTGTCTCGCTGCGGCATGATTTACTTAGATCCTTTAATGTTGGGTTGGAAGCCATTAATTGAATCGTGGATGAAAACATGCCCAGAATGTTGGTCTTTGGAACAAAACGGTATTGACATTATATGTTTATTCAACTGGATAACTCCTCCCTGTCTTAATTTTTTGCGCCGTAATTGCGCTCAATTGATTAACGCAGGAGAAACAAATATTGTTTTGTATGTTTGATTATTGTAATTTTTGCACGTTTGTTTTATTTATTTAATTTTTTCAAGGAACGTTTTAAATATATTGGAGATGCAGCTAAAAACTGCGAGTATTGATAACCCGAGTTTTAACGAACATTTTACGAATCACTTGCAAGGGTCATTTGTGTACGCATCCATTTGGGGTTTTGGAGGAACGTTGGACTCGAATTCACGACCTGCGTTCGACCTATATTTCAAAGAGTTATGGAAGGGTGAGGTTTCTGGTTTGGAACCACCGGAAGCCTTAAGTTCGTTGGACATTTCTATACCCAGTGAAGGTATGTTATACGACTACGTATACAACTATACATCCAGAGGATCGTGGAAAAATTTGTGGGAAGTTGTAAAAAATAATAAACTCGAAGAGATGAGTAGCGTCGAGCAAACTTTAGTACACACGCTCGACACCGCTAGGTAACTCTCTTAACAATCGCGTGCAATATTCTACATCATATATTTATTTTATTATTTTTATAGGTATACGCATTTAGTCGAAATGTATGTCGCTCATCGTAAGCCATTATTACTTTTCGGTCCTACGGGTACGGGCAAAAGTTTTTACATAAAAAATTACATGATGAACAAGTTATCCTTGGATAAGTACATTCCGTCTTTTGCAACGTTTACAATTCAGACTACAGTTAATTTTACACAGGAAATTTTACTATCAAAACTCATAAAACGTAAACGTGGCGTATATGGTCCACCGTTGGGAAAAGTTTGTGTGATTTTCGTTGATGACATGAACATGCCTGCCAAAGAGCAATATGGGGCTCAACCACCTATAGAACTGCTGAGGCAGTTTGTCGACCATGGTCATTGGTATGATTTACACGATAAATCTAAAATTTATCTTGAGGACATTCTTCTATTGACCGCTATCGGGCCGACCGGTGGGAGTAGACAAGATGTGTGTGAACGATTTTTGCGTCATTTCGGGCTGTTAGCTATGAATTCATTTGGCGACGAAAATATTACTAAAATATACTCAACTTTACTTCAAATCGGCCTGAAAGTTTGTTATACAAATTTTAATTAGCTTGTAATTATACCAGTATATATATATATATATATATAAACTAAATTATTTTCAGAGGAATGGTTTTACATTAGAAGTCGTTCCAATTATTGATAGTATGATCCAATCAACCATTGATTTGTACAAATCAGCTATTGTTAATTTACCACCAACTCCTGCGAAATCACACTATCTATTTAATTTAAGAGACATCTCAAAAGTTATAAACGGTATATTAATGTTCCGCAAAGAAAGTTTCACTAATCGTAAAGTATTTGTGAGGTTTGTTATAGTGATAATGTTAGTATTTTAGCAAATTTAAATTAATTTATTTATAGGTTGTGGGTACATGAAGTGTTGCGAGTATTTTATGATCGGCTTATTGAAGATAAAGATAGAGAATGGCTATTTAACGAAATTCGTTCCAGCGTGAATAAAAATTTCCAAGAAACTTTTGATGTAGTTTTCAATAACTTATCAGATTCAACTGTTTGTATTCACAGTATTTTTTCGCATTTAACTGATATGAAGACAATAATAGAATATTATAAATTTTAGCCGATCATTTATCAAGATATGGCAAATCTTTTATTTACTAACGTTATGGACGTTGATGCCTTGAAAGACAAAAAGTATGAAGAGCCACTTTCTCTGTCGCACTTCGAAGAAATAGCACAAGCATTTATAAATGAATACGATAAGGCACACAAGTCAAAACTCAACATAGTTCTTTTTAAGTAAGATGATTAAAGGTGTTATTTGTTTTAATATATATTTTGTAATTTTTATCAATCACATAGATATGCTCTTGAACATCTCTCAAGGATTTGTAGAATATTAACGATACCTGGTGGATGTGCATTATTAGTTGGAGTGGGAGGCTCAGGTCGACAGTCTCTTACTCGACTAGCAGCGGCTATGTGCAATTGTAGTGTATTTCAACCCGAGATCACGAAAAGTTATGGAATAAATGAGTGGAGGGATAGTTTGAAAACGGTACTCAAGGAATCTGGAGGAAAAAATCATCCAACCGTATTTCTGTTCACCGAAGGCCAAATAAAAGAAGAATACTTTCTGCAAGATATTGATGCCTTGTTAAATTCTGGAGAGGTTGCAAATTTATTTTCTTTAGATGAACAACAAAGTATATTAGAGGTGCCTCGTGTTTAGTTATTATTATTTTACGACGTAAATATAAACGTAGGAATTGTTCGGATTTTAATTAAATTCCATTTGTTATAGATGGTTAGATTAGCGGCTCAAGGAGGAAATAGGAATTTGGATATTGCTCCGCTGGTCGTTTTCAACTATTTTATCAATCGCTGTAAACAAAATCTGCATATTTGTTTATGCTTCAGCCCGATTGGCTCAACTTTTAGAAATCGACTGAGACGCTTCCCTTCCATGGTCAGTTGTTGTACAATTGATTGGTTCGAGGACTGGCCAGAAGCTGCGTTAGAAATGGTTGCACATAAATACTTGGAAGGCGTGAATCTATCTAACAGTATTAAAAACGCTGCAATCACTGCCTGTCAACATTTTCATGTTGACGCTAGGTAAGTTTGGGTTGGATAAGTACCCAATAATGATGATTTTCAACATGAATAATAATTTTAATATTTAATTTCAGGAGACTATCTTTGGAATTTCATTCAACAACACGACGTCATACGTACGTTACATCGGCATCATATTTGGATCTGATAAAAGCTTATACGTATTGCACTAATCGGAAACAAAAAGAAATTATGGAAGCGAAAATGCGTTATGTCGGTGGCCTCCAGGAACTAGAGTATGCCACCGTACAAGTTAGTCAGATGAAAGAAGATTTATTCAAACTCCAACCTCAACTTCAACAAGCACAAAAGGATACCGAGGAAATGATGGTTATGATTTCTCGTGAGACAGCTGAAGTGGAAAAAGCTACCGCTAGAGTGCAAGAGGATGAAAAAGTGGCAAATGTTCAAGCAGAAGCGGCTAATGACTTGAAAACAGAATGTGAAGCTGATTTAGCTCTAGCTATACCCGTCTTAGAAGGTAATTTAGTGAAACTTCCATTTAAAAAATTATTATCTGGAAACCATGAGCTTTATTGTTAATCAAGTAATTATATTTTACCAATTCCTCTTTATAACAAATTTTTTTTCTATAAGAATTCATTGTATAGAAGTTTCACTGTAATCATTTGGTGGAAAAATAATTCATTAACATTTGGAAATAAACTTTTTTGAAAATCACAAGTGATTAAAATAGCAACAACATAGCAATTCATATATAATACCAATAACAATAGTGCACGTGCTTAGTCATTTTATAAATTGGTCAATATAGATATAAATATCATACATATTTTATTAAAAAAAAAACAAAGTATAATTTATTTTTGTTTTTTTGAGCTAAGTATAATTTAACTAAGCTCAACATTTTTATTAATTAAAATGTTTTAATATCAAAAGATTTATATGAATCATCAAATTAGTGAATTAGTGAAACTAAATTAAATAATTCAAGTATTATTAATATAACAATGTATCATTATTATTTTTTCTAAGTTGATTAATTGGAATAAAATATTTGTCGATTATGAAAATCACTTAGGACTTTTCATTCATCATAAGATAGATGATTATTTCTGTTGAGTTTAGGATTATGTTTGTAGATAGATCTGGACAAAAATGACTACACTGTTTTTAGTAATAAGTAATATTTACTAAACACATGACTTACACATAAGTAATATTATAATAGAGTTCAGACAGTATGCTAAAAGTCGGCCTTATATACAAGTGACCTATTGACCTAAGTCTCACGCCACTGTTTAACAATATCTGATTCGCTAATAAATATATGGCGTGATTTTACACATTATTAATAGCAACGATGTTGTTGTTGCACAATATGATGATTCTTTATACAATATTAAATTATATTCAATAATTTCATGTCGTTATTTTATAATCATTAATTTCATAAGAAGTGTGTACAAGTAATATTTAATTACATGATCGTTCACGTTATTAGATGCAATTGATGCTTTAAATACTTTGAAACCAACCGATATTACATTAGTAAAGTCTATGAAAAATCCTCCTGAAATGGTTAAAACCGTGATGGCAGCTGTGTGCGTGATGAAAGGCGTATCACCAGACAAAATCCCCGATCCTAATAAACCCGGACAAAAAGTAATTTTTTATATAATTGTACAAAAGCGTTTCTATGATAGATAATCATAATCATGTGTTCACTAGATACTTGATTATTGGGGTCCGAGCAAACGCATATTGGGTGACATCAATTTTTTGCAAAGGTTAAAGGAGTACGACAAAGATAATATTCCGTCTCAAATCATGGCTATCATACGAAAGACGTATCTTCCGGACCCGAATTTCAAACCGCCAATCGTAGCTAAAGCATCCAGCGCTGCAGAGGGTCTGTGCAAGTGGATCATCGCCTTGGACATGTACGATAAAGTCATTAAAGTTGTGGCGCCGAAAAAAGAAAAATTGGAAATAGCTAACGCCGAGTATGAAGCAACGATGGCGATATTGGAAGAAAAGCGAAACGAAGTCAGGCAATTACAAGAAAGATTGGATTCGCTTAAAGACCGATTAGAGGAAACTGTTTTGTATAAAGAAAAACTACTCGCCGAAGTAGCGTTGTGTGAAAGCAAACTAATTAAAGCTGAAAAACTCATAGGTTGGTGGTACATAATATCATATGTAAATTGTCTCCCAGTGTATGTTTATTTTATTTCCATAAGACTTTGCATAGCAAAGAATCATAAATATTACACGTACGTGACTTGACGATAGAACTCACAGCAATATTGTTGCTAGAACTGCGTGTTAACGGTTTGGTATTGTTAACTATTCGGTAAATTTTCCTGTTATGGTGATAAAATATAATAAATGCTTATCAATGGGATTATCACTAATCGAAGATAGTTTTTAAACGGTTGCTGAACACGACAACCGGGTTGTGTTGTATTGTATTGTATTCTTTCAAATATTTCCGTCTGACTATATCGTTTTTGTTTGTCTTCTTGTATTTTTTTCCCTTGGTTAACTTTATAGTGTGTAAAAGTTTTAAAAATAGTCTATGTAAGTAAATTATTTGTTGATTTTAAAATAATATCAACCACATAGTTCTTTTGTTCTCAGTGTTCATAATACAGAAAGTTTCTCTATCGCATATATTTTTTTGGCTCCTTTAGTTTGGAATTATGATTGGCGCATTGTGAGTACTGACAGCTGACATCATATTATGCGGTAAAGCGTATGATGTGCTCATGATTTGAATAAATATTTTAGAAAACTATTATAGCTTTTATAGCTCGATAGTTTTCAGTAAAAAGATATGATTTAAATAAGATTTACAAATTCCATTTGATGGTTTTCAAATTAAATTTTACAAATTATAATTGAAGATCGATAATATTTACAATTCATTTTTTTTTTTGTTTTTAAGAATATACAATATTTTCTATTGCTTTTTTTTCAATTTTTTATTTTTTTTTATTCCTGTTTCTTTCAACTTGTAAAATATAGATATTATTGTAAACGTTTTAGGAAGTCTAGGGGGCGAGAAACATCGATGGGCTCTACGTGCCGAAGAGCTTCAAACCAACTACGATTGCATACCTGGAGACATTCTTATATCTTGTGGTATAATCGCGTATTTGGCTCCATTTACATCACATTTCCGGTAATGGGATTAGCGTGTTGGTAAATCAGTTATATCATACTCCACTTTTATTTCCAGGTCCTTGATAGTCAATGAATGGAAAATACTGTGTAACGATTTAAAAATTCCTAGTTCGGAGAGTTTTAGTCTAATTGACGTTTTGGGCATGCCAATTAAAATTCAAAACTGGACTATAAATGGTTTACCAATGGATTCTTTTTCAATCAACAACGCCATCATTATGGATGGGTCCCAAAGGTGGTCTTTACTAATTGATCCCCAAGGCCAAGCTAATAAATGGATTAAGACGATGGAAAAATCGAACGACATAATAGTTGATAAGTTGACTAATCCAAATTATATGAAAAGCATTGAGGTCGGTATCGAAGTCGGGAAACCCGTATTAATCGAAAACGTACTAGAAGACTTGGAACCGCCTCTAGACCCGGTATTATTGAAGCAGACGTACATAAAAGGTTATTAGATTTTATAAAAGTTTAATCTTGTCGAATAATGAAAGTAATAACAATATTAATTATAATAATAATAATAATAGTAATAATAAATAGTCTTATTACTAGTACTTAATACAAACGAATACTATTAAAAAAATATTTATCTAAACAATGACATCTTATTCGAGAATACAGGTGAAATGGTGGATTGTGGTTGAATATAGTTAAGTTTTATAATAAAATGTACATTATAGTCGATGTTGTCAATTAATAGAATAATTATCATTGAATTTAAATGTTTTCCATGCTGTAGGAAAGTCCATGTACATAGCACTCGGGAATAAAATTATTGAATATAACCCGAAATTTCGATTATACATCACATCAAAGCTTAGAAATCCACATTATCTACCGGAAATATTTAATAAAGTGACCATTATCAATTGCGCATTAACCGTTGAGGGCCTGGAGGACCAATTGTTAGGAATCGTCGTGGCGAAGGAGCGGTAAATATCATCATCTGTGTTACGAGTATTTTGTTACGTGGCGTGCATTTTATTGATATTGTAATATCAGACCAGATTTGGAGTCGAAAAGGCAACAGTTGATAGTCGAAGGAGCAGAAAACGCTAAAGCACTGCTGGACGTCGAAAACAATATTTTACAAATACTTTCGGCTCCTGGAAACATTTTGGAAGATGAGAACGCGGTTGATGTTTTAGATAATTCTAAAGTAAGTAGTATAATAGTTGTTAAATTGATCGAGAGTATTGTTAATATCACGGAAATATATTATTCGCATGAATTAAATGTCACGATCATAGCATTGCATGAATTATAGATATTAGCTAAAGAAATCACTCGAAAACAAGCGGCATCGATTGAAACCGTTGCAGTTATCGATCAATTTAGGCTACAGTATAAACCAATCGCAAACCACTGTTCTATACTTTACTACTGCATTACTGATTTGCCTAATCTCGATCCGATGTATCAGTATTCTTTAACTTGGTTTATCAACATATTTACTATGACAATCGAAACAGCGTGAGTACCTGGTTACTTATTGTTTAGTTATAGTTTATAGTTTATAATTATTTATTATCAGCATAGACTGTAATCATAGAAAATTTAGTGATAAAAATATATAAATAACTAATTAATATAAAAGAAAACATTTTAATTCCAATAAATTATATTCCGAAATGATATTTTTGATCGAACTTGTATTTTTAAATGTTTAACTTATAAAGACAACAATGTTGTCTACATTGTATCATTGATTATAAATACTATGGATTGCTCACTGGCCATATTTTTAATGAATTATTGTATTTAAAAATATGTTAGAAAAAATAACGAGACGTTGTGACTGTCAAATCAAAGACTACATTTTTCATTAGCAGCAATCGTGTTATCTACGAAAATAGATTATATGCAATTGTATAATTGAATTAGGGTGACTAAACGCCTTTTTAATCAAACATACGGTTAAAAGAAATGGAAATATGAAAATATAGCAAAATAATAATATAATTTACAATTAATTTTTATATAGAACAAATAATTTGTTCATTTTCATAATACATTTTTTTAGAGCATTTTTTTAACTTTTTTTTTTGTAGACATAGTACTTAAATAAAATAGTCTTAGTTAATATAATATATATACCATATATTTCGAAAAATAATGAAAGACATGTCTTAGATATTCTTCTTTAATTTTAAACGAATCAATATGACTAAAATACAATTATTATTATTTTAATGTTCATTTAGAAATAAATCAAAAATAATCAGTAAACGTTTGGAAGCTCTAAAAGAAACATTTACGTATAATTTATACGCAAATGTATGTCGGTCATTATTTGAAAAGGATAAGTTGTTGTTTTCTTTCATTATGTGCACTACTGTAATGCTGTGAGTAATGACATTATATTACGTGGAATAGTTGCATTTGTTTTATGTCCCGTGAACGTTTAATATTACAGAGCTGAAAAAAAAATTGACAAACAAGAACTTATGTTTCTTGTGACTGGTGGCGTCGGTATAAAAGAAAATATTCTTAATCCGTTATCCAATTGGCTTCCTGATAAGAATTGGGACGAAATTTGTCGTTTAGACGAGCTAAACGCGTACACTGGTGGGTGCAATTAATTAAATCAAATAGGTACATTTTGTAACTGGTAATTATTTCAGGATTAAAAGATGATTTCATAAAAAACGAGGACGTTTGGAAAAACTATCACGATCTGGCCGATTTTGGGGACTCCGAATTCCCCGTTCCTTGGTACGAAAAAACAAGCGATTTTCAACGTATTCTTATCGTGCGCACTATTAGACCCGACAAAGTCATACCCGCCATAACTAAACTTGTAGCGGGCGAACTTGGAGAAAAGTTTATTTATCCACCACCGTTTAATGTGCAGACGTCTTATGGGGACTCTAGCTGCCTGAGCCCGCTCGTGTTTATCCTGTCGCCCGGCATAGATCCAGTGGCAAGTTTGATGCAATTCGCCGACAAAATGGGACAAGTGAAAGCCCTTCGAAGTGTTTCGCTTGGCCAAGGACAAGTGAATAACGAATACGTTTTCTATTAACAACCAAAACCATAACTGATGTGAGCAAATAATTCAATGCTGTTTCAGGGCCCTATAGCCGAGGTGGTGATCCGCGAAGCGCAAAAAACAGGCGCATGGGTGTGTTTGCAAAACTGTCATCTGGCCACCTCGTGGATGGGGCAGCTGGAAGAGATCTGCGATTCGTTCGACGTGTCCAATGTCCACAGCGAGTTCAGACTGTGGCTGACTAGCTATCCTTCGGACAAGGTACCGCGGGCGGAAAACAGAGTGCATTGCCCCGTGCACGCGTGTTTCGAATCGAAATCAAATAATTGAACGAAAACGTATTTCAGTTCCCAGTGTCCGTGCTCCAAAACGGCGTAAAGATGACCAACGAGTCCCCTACGGGATTGCAAGCCAACATACTCCGCAGCTATCAGTCGTATCCCGTGAGCGATCAAAACTTTTTTGAAGGGTGTCCTGGCAAAGAACAGGTGTTCACGAAGCTGTTGTACGGAATCACGTTTTTCCACGCGGTCGTGCAAGAACGAAGGAAGTTCGGGCACATCGGATGGAATATACCATACGAATTTAATGAGTCCGATTACCACATTTCTATTCAGCAGCTCCAAGCAAGTTTTCGCCTTAAAAAAAAAAAATAATATATACACATACGCTAGACATATAGTTGTTTGGTTTGGCTGACGAGTAAATTGTTTTCAGATGTACATCAACGAGTTCGACGACGTGCCGTTCGAGGCCTTCACGTATCTGACTGGAGAATGCAATTACGGCGGCAGGGTGACCGATAATTGGGACAGGCGGACGATGAACACGATATTGAACGTATTCTGTTGTCCACGCGTAGTGGACGACCCGTATTATTTATTTTGTGATGTTGACCGGAGATACGGTGTCCCGTTCCGTACAAATTACGACGATTTCATCAAACAAATTCGCGTAAGAAATTAAAAAAGGAAAAAAAACGGATCATAATGACCTGGCCAAATTACGGGTTTAAATCGTAAGGTGTTCATAGTTTATCGATGTATAATCGATGTATGATTGTAGGAGATTCCGACCACGGTCAGCCCGGAAGTGTTCGGCTTGCACGTGAACTCAGCAATCGCCCGTGATCTGCAGACGACGTCTCAGCTGTTCCATTCGTACCTGTCGGTAGTGGAGTCCGTCGGCGTCGCGGACGGTCACAAAACGTCGGAAGACCTGTTGGTGGCGATCGCGTCCGACATTCTGACAAGGCTCCCGGACGGTCTCGACGTGGAAGCGGCGGCGGCGAGGTACCCGGTCACGTACGCTGAGTCCATGAACGCGGTTCTCGTGCAGGAAATGGAACGTTTCAACGCTCTGCTGTCCATCATCCGTGAAAGTTTGCGGGACTTGATAAGGGCTATCAGAGGCGCTATCACTATGACGCCCGAACTGGAAACTATGGCTTTATCGTTATCCGCGGCTAAATACCCATCATTCTGGTCAAAGTTTTCTTATCCGAGTCTTAAGTTCTTAGGAGGGTATATAAGTGATTTTATCGAACGACTTAATTTCATGCAAGTAAGCCACGTTATGTGTACAGCTTAAACGATTATAACATTGTTTTAATAGGAAAAGATAAACAGAAACAAACCCAATTATTTCTTTAGATTTAACTTTATACGCATCTTACTGTAGTTATTCGTCGTAAAAAACCGTAATTTTTTTTATTATTCGAACGTTTAACCACTGACTCGCATACACTGTTAGTTAACGATTTAGTGACCTTTTAAAAATCATTATTCGTACGAAATATTGTATTTTAATGTTTAAAAAAAATATTACTATGATTTAAGAATATTAAAAAATATACAAATATGCATTGCGATATGAAATTCTTGAGATATAATGATTTTTGAAAAAAAATAATTTTTCGTTACGCACATGTTCAAAATGTTTAGTTTTTTTTATTATCTGACATTTTTTCAAAAATGCATACAAAGTTGTATTATAATTGTATTATAAAATGTTATCACTCGATATTTTTGACAAATATTTGTTGTTCTGGACAGTTATTATAAATGCCTACGGATTAATTTTTATTCAATTATTTACAAAAGAAACGTCATTCATTTGATACGAAATATAATAACATATCAATAATTACTTAAAACTTATAAATATTTAATAACATATTTATTCGACCTTCGTAAGATTATCGAACACCAATGTTAGAGCATTTAGAAAAAAAATAATACCGTTGTTTGTCCGTTTCACTGTTAGGACGAACGTGTATTATAGACGAAAGAAGATAAACATTTAGACGTTTACGAAACATTAACTTTCCTCTGGACGACATCGTTCAATGGTGGTTTCTAAAATAAATGCACGATGCATAAATTGTAGCCGACGGACGAGTAAAATATTTTTATATAGTTATACTGGCTTTTTTGTTTTCCGATTCAACTCAATCGATGGTACGATCGTTATCGGTTTGTTTCTCTTGTGCGTCTACTCGGATAAAACGAAAGGAACAACGACGTCTTTCGAGTAGTAATAATTTAAACGGCTTTCACGTCAAAATACCTCCAGTAAAACTAATTTTAAGAGAAAACAATGAATATTTTTAATGTAGATATTATACAACAACATATAAACAATAAATATAACAAGTATTCATAATATATACCGAATAAAAGTATTTTAAAGAGAAATCTAGAAATACGAGTATATTATGATTTTAATAATGAATTTTTCGAAAAATTAGAAATACTAATTTCTAGAGAGCCTAGTCCAAAAAAAAAAAAAAAAAAGAAAAATATATTAGAACTATGACGAAAGACTTTTACGTATTGTAGAGAACGGAACAAGAGCTACTCAGTATTTAAGAGGAATTGCAAAGTTAAAAACCGCATGAAGCGTGAGATAATTTTAAAAAATGTACAAAAAATATAATAATACATCATCTTTAATGAATAACAATTGTTGCGAGAACATTTTATTTTAATATATTTCTAATAAATAATAATAACAATAATCGAAAGTAAAATGTTTTTCGCAAAGATATTTTGTACCGGAGATATTTTGACGGGTCACCATTCGAACGTTGCGGTTGGTGTCGCATCGAACGTTTGTGTTGACGCGCGCCGACTTCCGTCCTCGTTCGTAACGTTAGGCCATTCGTTTTCAGACATGGCACGACAACGGCAAACCTGACGATTTTTGGCTCAGCGGATTCTTTGCCGCCCGATCGTTTCTCGCGGCCGCGCTGCAAAACTTCGCCCGCCGTCACGCGACACCCGTCGACCGGTTGCGTTTCGATTTCCAAGTGCAGCGACGCGACCGGGCCGACGCACCGCCCGAGAACGGAGTCTATTGTTACGGGCTGTTTTTGGACGGAGCTCGTTGGGACCGGTCCAGGTACGTGCCGCGCCTAACCCCGAACAAGTTTGTCGCGCGTTTCGTGGCGATCGCACCCGACGAACGGTCCGCCGAAAGATAATATTTTATTTTTCGCGCCCACCGAAGTTCTTTTTCTCTCTAATCTAATCCAACAGTGATCCGAAAACAACCTATAGTCGGCCCGAACTCGATGTTCTGCATCTTTGGGAATACCTGTTCGAACGAAGACGGTAGAAACGTTTCTTATAACACCCTAGGCGCACGAATGCGTAAGACTCGTTGCAAAATAGAATTAGGTATACCGGGGCTGATCGGTCCAGGTTAGGTTACTACTTGTACATGCTTTAGTACAATAAAATATAGGGCTGAGACGATGGGCCCTGTCGGACGTACGAGTCTTGGGGTTCTAGCTCTCCTTGCCCCATTCTTTCGCCGGCTCAAAGGTATACCCATAACGTAACGATCGAAGTAGACAAAGCGTAGCTTTTTTCATTGAAACTGTGATTTTTTTGTCAATGATCATCATGTACTTAAAGTTTAGTTTCCTACAACCAATATAATTAAATCGAAGATTTTATCAGTTTATTTATTTAAGATGAGATAAAAAGACAGTATAGCGTAGACCCGATTATGAAGTTATGACTAATATTAACCCCGTCCATAGTGTTAGAAATGCACAACGTTACAAATCATATGATAATAATTCTGTTTATATTATTATATGCATACAATATTAATTACATTTTTTATTAAGTTACACGCGACTATATCAACATTTTGATTATCGTTTCTAATGAAAACTTGAAGTTTGAAATTCCAGTGGGAAAGATACATTTTTTTATGCGCACATATTTGAATAGTTGAAAATTAAAAATAAACTATCGATAGCAAAATATAAATTGTTTTCTAAAAAAAAAAAACTATCTAAATCGGATCTTTTTACTAGGCCTGAATGTTTTACTCTTGAGATATGTTCTAAAGCAAAAGACCTAGACATTAGAATTCTGAGGAAATAAGAATTTTGGCCGGCTATGTTTTCATTTTTGAGCCACCGTATTCTGACCAAAATTTGTTATTTAATAAAGATCGTCTGGATTACAGAATGGTGTTGGACGAACAGTTGCCGAAAGTACTCACGGACGTGTTGCCGTTGGTGTGGTTCATACCTACGAAAAAAGACGATTTACACATAGGAAACAGGTATACGTGTCCGGTGTACAATACTTCTGAGAGAAGAGGAATATTGTCTACGACGGGCCACTCCACCAATTACGTATTACCGATATTTCTCGACACCGACGAGAATCCGTCTCATTGGATACACCGCGGCGTTGCTTTGCTATGTCAACTAGACGAATGAAAAATAGTAATCTTACTGTATGACATGTGGACAAACACGTTCAATAGATAGTATTCACATGATCGGGTGCGTTAAAAATAAAAAAATAAAATAAATAACAATTACATAAATAATTTTTTTTTTTTTTTTATTAAATATATTATTACAAAACCAAATCATATTTTATCAAAAGTTTTTAATGGACCTGTAGTGTTTTCCGTTCGTTCCTCGTTCCTTACATTTTTATTCGTGTCTCTAATCCACGGAAGTATGATGTACACTAATTTTTCTTGATTCGCATGTTTCGGAGTCACGAACCTGGTAATGCTATCTTTAGTCATCGACTGTTTCTCGATTTCTGGCCTCAGCAGCTTTATCAGCTTTTTCAATAGAAAATCGATTTGTTCTTCATTCAATTCTTTTTTGGGAGGAGTTTGAGTGTAGAGTTGACTGTACCAAAGGTCTGAACCTTTCAACGTCTGCGGAGTCAGTGAAGATGTTCCACTCGTATGCCGATCTTGGTCGTTTGCCGATGTTCTATACGTCGATTCACCAGATACTGTGGTAAACAAGGCTTTATTTTGAATTGAATTAAACAGTTTAGTAGACTTCATTATTGGTTTCAACGAGCTACTCGTTTCACTTGCAATAGCCGGGGGATAACGACCCATTTCGATATTCGTAAGCACGTCTGACTTTTCAGTGGAGGTTTGCGTTCGGCTTACAAGATTTTCGCTCGGTGTAATATTTAAACCTAATGGAAAATTATCTTTTTCAGTCTTTGCAGATGCATCGTGTTCATGTTTTTTTGAAATATCTAGCGACATTAATATGCTCACATTCTGAGCAACATTTTTCGAATTGTTCTGACCATTATTCTTAATCAATGGAGTTGTTCTAGTTTCGGTTTCTATCAACTTTGTGGTAGTGGTAATATTATGATTTAATGACTGTAATCTCTGAATTGATGTAGTGTCATTTATACTCGTTGGTGTGCTTTCGTTATATTTGTCGAACGGCTGCAAAAACGTAGGCTGTAGCGTAGTTAATGCCTCTGAGACTTGAAGCGACAGCAGAACATTGTTAGGCATTATTGAAGAGGTATAGGGAAGTATCTCTGAATTGGATGTTGGCGGTAGACGTGTTGATGAACTAATCGCATTCGATTGCTTGTAGTTGATACTTGCAGATTGCGTCGAAGAATAAATCGATCCCATTTGAACTGGACTTTCATGCAAGTCCTGGTGCTTAGTTGTTTTGACACTCCGTGTCATATCGTATGTAGAATTTGTTGTTGAACAGTCATTATTTTTACACTGCAGTGTGGTTGGAGCTGATGGCGTCATGGAATACAATAATGCGGAAAATATAGTTGTAGCCATTGGGGTTTGTGTCGTGTTATTTATTTTTGATGCGTTTTCCACGTTTATAACCGACGTGTCCGAAATATCCGTCGTTGTATCGACTGACTCTCGTGGTTCATTTGGTTGATAATCCTCTTCGGTTTTCGTGGATTCGTCTTCTGGATTATTCACGTATGAGCTTGTAGTTACAATCTCAGTGGTAGTTTCTAAGTCCTCCGAGGTCTTTATTAAATACGGTTCTTTTGTAACAGACTGCGAGGAAAGTAGCTTCATGGTACTGTTTAATTTGTCTGATGAACGGTATACGTTATCTGACGGAGTCTGTGAAACTGGGTCGCCAAACGCTTCGGATGTGCTTGGATTGTCCGATATCGTCATCGATACTGGCGTAGTGCTCATAGTAATGTCATTAGTCGACGACAGGAATTCGGCTTTCTGCGATTCGTTCATTTGGTGAGGTTCCGTTGACATCGTACTCGGAAGATTATTAATGTTATCAACCAATTTACCGTCCCTTGTAGCCGGTATCGGCTTTCCGTTTTCGTCGTATATCCCCTGATCGATTTGTGCGTGTTCAGCTGTCACGTGTTGCTGCCCAAAACCGTCAAGATCTTGAGCCTGGTCGTAGTCTTGGATTTCGTCTTGGATATTCGAAGGAACGTAATGTAATGGAACGTTTGTGGGACGTTTGATTTTCGGGTGACCATTGATCAGCGTTGAACTCATGATGTTCGGAACCTGCGTGTATTCGTACGGTAGTTGTGCGTGTACGGGTATAAAAACGCGATGGTGATATTCTTGTTGTGGATACGATACATGAGTAATGGGTATCAGATGCGTTGTCGGGCCGTATGGCAAAGGAATGTAACTGGAGTAAAAGGTCGGATGGTAATACGGGTTGAATATGATCGAATTGATGGGCAGAGGCGCGACGTTTTCATGGTTCAGCGCTGGTCCCGTGGCTGAAGAACTCGTTCGACTTTTTTTGGCGATGCGCTGTATGTTCGTCGGATTAGTGGCCGATTGAACGTTTTTATTGTACCTTTTAATCAACTGTTCTATCCATGCCCGAAGAACTTTTTCCTCGAACTCTGAAAATCAAACATTCAAGATATGAGCAATTGAATAAATAATATTTTTTTTTTTTTTGTAACAGTTTACGATGATAAATGAAAATATTTTCGTGCGAATTATCAAATCGTACCATTAACATATTTTATTTGCGGTTATACAATTAAAGTTATATAGACTGTATGAGAAACCAGAATTGGGTATTTATAAGTATACGTAGGTCCGATTCGTGAATATTTAAATGAGTATTTTAACTGCGGTAAGTTGTTTGGTAATCACTTATCAATACTTTGCATTAGAATATTTCACTACGTAAAAAAACAAACTGAATGCATGGAGAAAAACTTGGTAGTATAAGGTGATATAAACGATAAGTATAAAGTCTGTTGTTGGGAATTCAACCCGTTGAATATATACTGAACTAAGAGATGTGCTCTACTCATTAGTATTTACGAACAAAGAGGGTAAGATGTAATCTATAAAAGTCGTATGATCAGTAATATACAAGGTTGAACGGGTTTATGTTGTAATATGTGATGGTAATTGTCGATGGTAATTTTAATTAATTTACTAATTCATTTACCCATACAATTTACCAACACGTTTCAGATTACCATTTGACACTTGTAGCCTAAGTAAAGTATGTTATGTACAATTAAATTCATTGTTCTGAATAATTGAAAATATATATGAAAGTTTTTTTTTTATCAAAGACATAATCACCCAAAAGCGAATTTAAAAAAAATTGATTAGCTATTATCATATGGTTTCTTTTTATGAAAAAAGGTTTTGTTTTTTACATACAGTAGTGCATTTTTTAACTAGTTAACTAGGTGACACAAATGTTGCCTAGTGATTATGCTCTGTCGACAGTATTTTAAAAGATTGGGCGAAATAATGCGAAACAAATGTGTAATACTATAATTGTACTATGGTGTTGTATATTAACTATTTTGAGAAAAACATTTTTTGTTGCCCAGTAAAAATTCCTTATAAAATGCACTGATATACAGCAATGTACCGTTAATCAAACAAAAAATTGTGAAACTATATGAATACCAAATTCTTTGTACACATCCGCAGGGAACCTTACATTAATGCTCAACGTTATGAAATATGATAAATAAGACTAGGTCAAAAGGCGTATTTAAAAAGTTTTTTTTATTCTCAATTTCGTTCTACATCATTTTCAATCGAACGGGAATAAGTCTTAAGTCAAGGTCGTAGCTATTTCAGTAAATATTTTTCCGGAGGGTGGGTGAAGGTTTGATTACTAAACTGGTATATTTTTTATCATTTTCTGTCAAATTTTTTTTTAAAAAAAAATACTTAGCCCGCGTATGTATCAGAGAATTTAAATATACACGTGTAGAAAATAAATAAATTCAAATAAATATGTCATCACATAATGTCAGTTGAAATTATGAATTTTAATTTGACTATTCAATGGAATATGGTGTTAAATATTCTTTTAGAAATATTTAAATATATATGATAACTATAGGAGGTATAACTATTTTTTTAAAATAAGAAATGTTATGAAATCTATTATTTCTTATGAAATTGGTAGACAATAAAAAAAGGTTACTAGTTGAATTAGACTCTTCGAGCAAGTGTATTACTGAGGTAAGTTGTAAGTTTATATTCAAAAACAATATATTGCTAGTTTAAAAAAAAAAATATTATCTAATGTTATAATTTCCAAGGAGGTCAACAGTGCAGCACAAAATTAGCTTAATCTAAAATTATTCCCCTGTAACTCCATAGTTCTTATCGAAACTTTAAATTGTTATAAATAATAAACTATGTAAATCAATATTCGACAATTGAATAATGATATTCTATCGTTTTCAGAAAAACATTCTAGCTTCGGAACGTGAATAAGCAATAATATCACACAAAATTTAACAAATTTAAATTTCTTTATACCTAATTATAATAATAAATATTGACTGTGAAAATTAGCTAGTCAAGTATTTTAAATGAATCACTCGACATAATGCTATACATAAATAAATATTAATTTGTGTATGTGTATATTAATAAAAAAGAGTGAAATTACGTGTAAAGTGGGTTAATATATTAGAAATTTGATTCGTTTTCAAAGCGTAATATTCAGAATATGATGTTTAAAAAGGCTGACTAATAACTTATGTTTTTTCAGTTATTGAATTTATTATGATTTATTATGATTTTATTTACTTTTATCATTTTCATTCAAATAAAAATCTAATTTTTTTTTTTTAATTAAGTATTTTAAGTCAGATAAGTAAACATTACGATTGAATGGTTTTATTAGAATTCCATACGTGTTGCAACTCAATTTTTAATCTTATTTCATTACTTGCATATATTAGTTATACGAACATTCTTTTAGTACTACTGGGAATGTCGATATAAGATGTAATATTAACTGAAGAAAATAATTCGTTACATAGAATTCATCACTGTCCCTTATTTTACTTAGATTTTTAATCATATGAAGTTATTGAACTACATATGTAATGGGTATTTTTAAAATTTAAACATTTTAATGGTATTGAAAATGAAACAAATATTATATAGTGTACATACATATTTAAAACCTTCATATATTCAACCGTTATTGTGAAAAGGTAAACATAATTTCAATGACAAAATATTATTATCTTTATGATACATTTGTTCAAATCATTGTATTTATATACGTTACATTTTTTTTTCAGTATGGTATATATTCGATTTAATTATAATTAAAATCGTTTTCAAAAAGTAATTAATTTTTATCCATTCAATTAATGTCAAACATCATCTGCATGGTTTTTTATTTAATATTATTAAAAATAGTGATTATACATTTCTGATTAAGTGTATCTAAACGTTTTCAGAGACGCAAAATATTTCTACCGTAAAAATCCTATTAAAGTGCATGTAAAATGAATTTGTATTGTGAAATTTACAAATATATATCAACTATATTTTTCAAAAAAATTATTTAATTTTACTGTAAAAAAAGTAGTCTCAGTCATTGTCAATAAATACTGTTAGAACTATTCGGTAGATAAGTTTTGGATCTCAAATAGTAAGGAACAATTAAAAACGTATTTTTAAATAGTGAATTCACCGCTGTCAATCGTGCCGGACATACTACGTTTGCAAATACTAAAGAATTTGGTTGATTAGGTTTTTCAATCAACTCAGACATTGATTGATTAAAAAACTATACAAATATTTTAAATATTTCATTATTCATCATATTCTATTTATTTCAAATGATTACAGATCTTATCATGTTTCCTGCATTAATATTCTAAGTCATTTGGCCATTTAAAATGTTATCTTAAGTACCTTAAAAGTGATCGTAAGGCGTGTAGTGTAAACTAGTTAATTTCATTATTTGTAATTACCGAATTGATATTTAGATATGAATCGATAAAAATAGCAGTCGTTGAATGAAATATCAAATTTTCTAACGATTTCCGATCACCTACTGATTAATTGATTATGTTTTTGCACAATATCATCGGACACAAACTTTGGTTTTATTAAAACCATGATTGACGACGAATCGAATTTATACAAAATCGTACAAATTATATAGTGCTAAACGAGGTAACAAATCTGGTATGCCAACATTAACGTTTTATTTCTTTGATTCGATAAATAATTGACTTCTTAGGCCAATCGAATTTAAAATCCATTATTATTATCGACACGGACGAGTAGGAACTTACTTTTCTTTGTCGGACCCCATTGTAAACCGATTATCTTCAGGGTTAGCTTAATTGAATTGTATACTGCTTAATAAAATGTTAACACAAAGAAATGCTTCTTGATTTTTTTTTTTTTGCACGTTAATGTAGTAACTCTGAGAAATAATTAATTTTAAACTTCTTAGCACGAGAAGTTTACTAATGAAATATATTTATTTTATTTTATTATTCTTTCGTAAACGTCATGTAAAATGTCTTGTTGTTATTTCTACAGACTAGAATTTCCAATGCATAAATACAATTTTTATGTCTGTACGAAGGACACGTTTGTCAAGTTTTCCATGTTCCTAGACTAATTAATTCGATCGACGAAAAATTCTTCGTTGCAATTATAACGTTTATTATCGAACTTGTGAAACTATACCAGTGACCAAAAATGCAAATATAGATATATTTGGTTAGTATGTCCGTTAATAATTTTCTACGCATATATTATATAATAATATTGTACAAAGTTTATCCATGATCCACTTGCTTTCAAAATTTGATATTTTAGTATTTTGTTCTACTATTATTTAGATAATTACACCCAAATGTAATTTGTTAATTGATATTATACACAAATTATTTGAGTTGGCATTAATATCATTTTTACTCAATTAGTTGTTGGTATTTATACATCACTGTATATGATATTGACATGAGCGAAACCCCTAAAAGAACTGATGGCCACAGTGAGTGGTGTAATCTTTATTAATTAGAGTATAGTTGTAGATGAACAGGATTAATCATTTTTTGCATATTGTGAATAAAAAAAAAAAAATTTAACTATATTCTTATGAAATAAAGATAATATTACCACAGGATGCGCAGTAAATTTTACCGTCAGAACTGCGGGCAATAAACATAAAAGTTATTGTTATTATTATAGATACGCTTACATAAAATAGTAGTTAAGAAAAAATGGAATAAATAGATTACGTACTGCGTTTATTATTTATTATTTATTGTCGACGGTTGACGATTTTCCACATGGATATTTCATACGAGAATGATTTGAAAATAATAATATGAAGAGTAAAAATTACTAAAGCATCGATTATAGAATGAATTACACTCTATAATTAATGATTAAAGTTAAGGCGCGATTTTCTCTTAATTACACCCTGAAAATGTTACGCTTTTTTCACAACAATATCGAATGCACAAACGCAACGTTTAATTGATATCTATCGATTATGGAGAACTAAATTGCTCAATGTTGTCATGATCACGAAAATCTATCTGATAAGTTTAAGGAACTTCTGCACAGGGATTTATCTAAAACC